TTACAATATTTAATATACAATATGAAAAAAGGATATAAAATCGAAAATGGAATAAGAATCACATAATCGCGAGGTGAATTTTTTTAACACTAAGAACTATCGACAATTAATTATTTTAACTATTTAAATTTGTTATTATATTGATTTGGAACACAAAAGTTAATAGCGGAACAACCTTCAAAATTTAAGTGGTAATTTCATTAATAAAGAAATTTATCTAAAACTTTGTTCTATCAAATGGTATAATTGCTTAATTTAAAAAAAAAATCATGTAAACATGATCCAATGAAGTAGCGCTACAAATTTTTATTTTAAATTATTATTTTTTAAAAATAAAAGGTAAAAAGAATAAATGGTAAAAAGTAATTGATCAGTTTATATACTAATATATTGCAACAAAAATCATGGCACGAAAAATCTTAGAAAAAGCCCTCCCCCTCCCCATTGTTATAAATTATATGTCATAAAAGATAAATCAGCTATTGCTTTTTAATAGCTGCAAAACTAGTTGTAAAAATTATATAATTTCTGATCATGATTAACTCAACAAAACTTATTAATCATTAGTTTTTACTCATTTCCTTAATTATCGTTATTAAATCCTTTGCGATATATCTTCATCACTTATTGCAATAAAGAAATTGATTTTAAGATTTCAAGTGAAAAGGTACTTTTCGCCGTTTCTTCGCGGATTTTTTCCAAAATGAAGCGAATATGATTGACACTTGTATCCAATGTCTTATATACGTAAAAGTATCCGTTGCGACATTACTTTCACTTGATTCCGTCGATTTCTCGGTTAATACACTCGTCCCACTTTGCACAGTTCTCTGAACCAAATGTTCGAAGAATTTTTTTAACAAAATGAACGACCCAATACCAATGATTATGTGATAAAAGTACTTGATCATGAAGGGCAAGTATTCGGCGAACATTTTTATACACAACGTAGTTGGTTATGCGACTCTTCATATGTTACTGATTCACTATCAACTATCGAGTGAGACAATGCAAGTTGCACGAAAGATAAAATGAAATGACGTCAATGATTGCATTCAGTGAAAACGCAGCTTTGCAATTGTTGCGAAATTGTTTAATACGGTACTCCTCCTCCCAAATAAATGCATCAAACTGATCATATTACAAAATCTTATAACAGTTGTAAAATTGCTTCTTCTGTTAAATGCAGTCACTATCGAACATTCACTACCATGACTTAAAAATATCGAATATGTACAATTTCAATTCAGGCGCGAGCTACGTTGCGGGGAAAGAAAAAGAGTGGGGACCTTTCCTTTTCCCTTTCTCTTCATTCTTCAGTAATTAAAGATTTTTTTAAATAATACATTTTTGATGATAATTTTGTGATGAATTCTTGACATAATGACAATGATTAAGTAATTTTTTAATTAAAAAAAGCACATAAATTATTAATTATGTCAAGAATTGTGTTTAATGTCATTTTAATCTTATTATGATTTTATATTCTACCTATGTATGACCTGATGATTACACAGTTCATAAATTATTCTTGTTGATCATATTCAGCAAAAAAAGTAATATAGTTTGTAACTATTGTAAGATTCTTTAATATAATTTGTTCATGTCTCTAGTTTCACTGCATGAATCTAAATGTAAAGTAATCAAACCCTATATGACCTAGTATTCAATATTCATTGTTTGTAGGTACAGAGAGGAACCTGTAACTAATTACACGATGAATTTACCAAGATAGCATTAGTAAAACATGCAGGCTATCCGTCTGACTCGATTGCATTAATATATTGTTCAGTTGTTCATTCTGTTATACTATAGTAAAGCAAAATGCAAAACGTCATGATGTAATTTTTCGTCGTAGTCATAAATAATTGTTTTTTATAATTACTAAGAAAGGTTATTAATTTCTGTAGTTTATATTATTGTAATTCTGTATTTATACTTTTATAACAATGTATTTAATTTATATCTTCATCAGAACGTTTTGTTTTTAATAAAACAGGAGAAATTCTTTATAAGGTAGAAACAATATGGCCAACTTAGAAATATTGAATGTACATCGATTGTAATGTTTTTCTTGGTATTTCTGTTATTCCAAACTGTATATAGATTTTAATTCATCTGCTAAACATTGTAGAGATAAGTAAGTAAATTAAATGATTATTTGGAAAATAGAGAGTTCTTTGTGTATTCTTACATGTCAATAAACACGTCAATATGTTAATAAACTTATAATCTTATAAAAGTAACACTGCATCACTTCATTTTCCATTTTTCTAACATTATTTTAAAAAAAAAGAGAAAAATATATATTTAGACTATATTAGTAAATACATGTGTACTATACTTTTTAAAATCTTCACAGTCATATAAATATTTGAAAAAGTCCCATACTTTTTTTTATGTTCAGAATGTGTCCTCTTTTGAATCTGACCAACAGTTTTCAATTTTAAACTCATGAAAAAATGTTTTTAAATCATAAAGCTACATAAATAAGATCCTGTTATTTTATAAATAATTAATTGTATCAAAAAATCTTATAACAATAGCAAAGTCGTTTTTTTCTGCTGAACGTAATCATTATTAATCATATCAGGCGAGAGATTAAAAGACAAGTGATATTAATGTTTTAATTACTTTGAATTACGGTCGACGTTAAACATTGTTACAAAATATTTTGGCTTTATTATGAAACTGCCAAAAGAAAGAGGATTTGCACGTCTCCTCGTTTATTTTCAATCTTTTGTCTGTTCTTCTTTTGTCTAACGGAAATATTTGTGCCTTAAAGGGACAAGCAACTTTTCATGCTTTTACAAAGGAAATGATAAATTTTTCTTTAGAATAAATGTGTCTTATGAGATACAGGTCAGGCTCAAGCGAAATTGTTTTTTGAGAATCAAAAAGTAATAATATGATGATTCTATACTCCAAAACTCTTCAAGGAAAATTTTACTCGCTAAGATGTAGTATATGTTACGTGTACATTTTGAATAAAATTTTCCTCGAAAGGGACGTTTTGGAATGTAGTTCAAATAGATAGAATAGGAAGAATTTATATGTGCCAATTGACGAAACGAGAAAGCAAGTTCGAGTGACAAGATTCTA